TTGTAAAGCATACTGAAAAAAGGTGGAATGTCTGAGCTCCTGGTGGCTCCTTCCATTCCAAAGGTGACTAAATTTCAGCAGAATATGTATCGAGGGTGTGATTTCTTGAACAAATTTTAGGGTTGAAAAACTGTTACATAGATGTCAATTATTGATGTCATGGAACAGTGGAGGAAAGGAGAGTATCCCAGGATTGCACAGAGACAAATGACAAAGGTTTGCACCTTGTAAATCCGGACATACTCTTCAATACTGAAGTCTCTAAAATGTTGCCACATTGACAGTGTCTGCTCATCACGTGCCTCCAGTTTTCTAAAGAAATCCTGTGCCAGGTTCTTTATGCTTTCATCTTCTTCTGCTGCTTTGTTAACCTGTACATATACCTAAAATACAATGTTATGGAAAATGTACAGTAAATACGATTTTCCCTTCAAAGGAAAAAAAAAGTGGAAAACACAGGAAGGTCTACAGGAACAGCACAGCAGTGACATTAGGAACACACACAACTTATTTTTAAGGGCTGGAATATTGTCTTGGCCGCCCAGTTTAGACTCATCTGTGGGATTTTCCAAAACCCAGATTGTAATCCCACAACTGCAACTGATGCTGCTTCTGTTACTATCCCAGCCTTGGAGCACCCAAAGCAACATAATATGGAAGAATTCACTTGTATCTAAAGGAATCGAAGACAGTCTTAAATCAGAACACATTTCAGGTTGCAGATCACGCCATTGGCACACATCAATTAAATCCCAAAGGAAAAGTTTGGCATGCTGTCTAATGGAGGGAGCCCATGCCAATTTTCTAGAAGAGCTAGTTGCATTCAACAATGCTAGCATATATAGATGCTGGCTCCCCTGGGTGGATACAGTATTCCTTTAGTTGTTAAAGCTCAGAAGTAGACTACGTTCAAAGTGATTTTTTTTCTCTAGCATTTAGAAAATGGGAGTCAAAGTTTTGAAAGCAAAATTATAAAAATGCTATACAAAACTTAGCATGACTGTTAATTTTGTATTTTGACCCATGCAGGTCATCACTGATGGAATACCTTCCCACTATGACAGGTTTTATAAATTAACCCTGTTAGGCTATTAAATTATTGCAACATTAGTGAGGCATTAACAATGCAATTTACAAGAGTTCTGTTTGAATAATTCCATGAGGTTAGCCAAAGTATCTTGCTGTAGTAGCCTTAGCCTGTAAAAATGCTCTCATCAACTAAACATTTTTGAACTTTTCCCCTTCCCTTTATGTGTCTTAAATTTCAGAGATACTGAATCAACCAGACAATATTACTAACAAGCCTCAAATCTGAGAGCAGATGAAGATTTCCGCAACCTAGCCACAGACAATGGAATTTAAGATCAGAGAAGAGTTAATCCTTTCTAAGAAAGGACAGTAACTGAATGCATCCACTTTTCCCCTTCTTTCTGATGATTTTATAGAGAAAACAATAACTGCAGATGTGAATGCCTAACCACATCTGACTCCCAACCATAATTTAAGGTGCAGCTATGACTAGACACACTCACTTATATGCTTAATAACATAAAAATCCTACCAATGAGTTTTTCCTTTTAAATAACAGCAGAAAAGACCAGCCCGATGTATCATATACAACATTTCAATACATATTAGAAAGGAACCATAATACAATACAAACCTGCATCAATAACAGATATAAATCACAAGCATAGTTAAACATTTATAGCAGTCAAACATGGTAAGTATTTGAGAAATTGTCTTTTGGTTTAATAAAAAAACTACTTCACATTGAAGGTGATTTGGAGTCATAAAAGCCTAGGTTTTTAATTCAGTAATCAAGGAAAAAGCATTATCAAGCAAAGATATTTTAAAGTTGCAATGCCTATCTTATATCAGATTCAAATAACTTAATTTTAGAGACTTGCATATATATATATATATATATATATATATGCA